TCAGTTTGTCCGGATACCAAACAGTTTTCAAAGACGGAATTTCGTAAGTGATTATTCGCGAGAAAGGATTGTACTGAAGGACCATAAAATTAGAATTGAGATTTCCCGCCTGAATCAAATCGTTTTTCAAGACTGATGTTTTCCGACTGATTTCAATTTCGATGACAGTCACGTCTAGGAATTTGTTTTTCCACAGATTTTCGAAAAATTGGTGATAATTTTCAATTTTATAGAATACTAGCAGCAAGCACTTTGGTCGACGATTCGATTCTGAGAGTTCAATTAAGAAATTTGTCGATCGATTGAATTCGGGATCATTTTCCGAATTTGCTAGTACAAAGAGCGAGAGTCGAGGATTGTAGATAGTGAAATCAGATTTTTCCGGCTTATCACTTTGTGGTGTGAGAATTTCTTGAAGGAAAGTAGTAGTTGATAATTCTTTCATCAGATTGTCGGAAATTAAGTTTCTGCTTGCATTTTTTCCGTTGATGAAAAATATTACCTGATAAATTTTTCGATCACTTTGAATGCTTTTTGCTAATTTCGAAATCCAGTTTATATTGTTATCTGCTTTCAATTTTTGGTCGCAAATTATTAAGACACTGAAAATAATTTTTGTTATTAACATTTTTGCTGTTTTTGTTTTAAGAAAACGAAAGAAGAGAATTAGAATTCCAAAATTAATTTAATTTAATTACAATTTTAGAATTGCAATGGAAAATAATTTAAAAAATTTTTTCTGTTCTTTGACCATAAAGACCATACTGAATTTAGTGAAAACAACAGTTGGAATGACTTATAAGTTTAGAAAATTGATTTTATATTTTATTTTGACTAATATAAAATTTTTATTTATTATTTAGATATTGAATTTAAGTGAAAACTGCTGTGGGAATGAATTGAAATTGCAGGAAATTTATTTTGTATTTTTATTGATTTCACTGCTATAGATTTATTATTTATAAGAAAATAGAAATTCGGAAAACGATGATGAATAAAATGATAAATTGATAGAGGTTCAAGTTCAGAAAAATAAAAATCGATAAAGTGGACACGTGTAAAGGAAATTTAGTTGAATTTTTTAATATATGGGTGATTCTACAAAAGAGGGAATTTTGATGTCTGAAGCATGTTTTGTATATTAATTTTGGAAAGAATAATTTTACTTTTAATGGAAATTGTAAATCTTAATGGTTTCTATTATGGCACAGAAAAAAAACCGATGAAATATATTTTTACTGTTAGCACTTTTTTTTAATATTTTTTGTTTTTAAATATTTTTAATTTTAAAATTATAATGTATATTGAAAATCATTGAATTCTTGCAAAGAATTTTATCAAAAAAGTTGAGAATAATTGAATTCATTTGAAGAATTTTATTATTCATGAAAATGATTGAATTCTTGCGAAGAATTTTATTAAAATTTTTGAAAATTCTAATTAAATTCTTTTAAAGAATTTCATCGAATTTTTTTAAAGTAGTGGAGTTTCTTCAAAAATTTTAGTTGAAAATTTTGAAAATAATTGAATTTTATGAACAATTTCTTTCGGGTTTTTAAAATAATCGTGTTTGTTAATAATTGAAATTGAACATTTCATTATTGAATTTTATTAAATTTTTTTGAAAATAATTAAATTTTTCTCAGAATTTTATTACAATCTTCTAAAATAATTTAATTCGTCCAAGGAATTTTATTAAAATATACAAAATAATTGAATTCTTTCGAAAAATTTCTTTAACTTATTGAATATAATCGATTTTGTTAGTAATTGTAATTAATAAATTTTCTATTAAAATTTTATTTAAATTATTGATAGAAAATTAGACTCTTTTAAATAATTTTATTAGAGTTTTTATAAATAATTAGATTCTTTTGAAGAATTTCTTTAAGTTTTTTTTTAATAATGTAGTTCTTTGAATTCTTTCATGAAATTTGTTTAAAAATGTTTTGAAAATATTTGAATTTTTGCGAAGAAATTTACTATTTATAAAAATAATTGAATTTTTTTGAAGGATTGATTAAAATTTTAGAAAATAATTTAATTCTTTTGAAAAATTTTTATAACGAATTTAGAAAAAAATTTAATTCTTTCGTGAAATTTTATTGAAAATAATTGAATTTTTGGAAAGATTTTGCAAAATATTTTACTATTTATAAAAATAATTAAATTTTTTCGCAGAATGTTATTATTTATGAAAGTAATTGAATTATTGCGAAGAATATTGTATTAAAATTTTTGAAAATATAAACAATAATTTTTAATGACAATTTTCATTGTGTAAATTAGTGAAAAATTGTAGGAAAAATAGTATTACTTGCAATTCGTATCCAGAGGAAAAGAAAATTTATTGAAAAATATGTTTAGTTAAAAAAAATAGGAAAATAATAAAAATCCTTTCTGAATGAGAAAGTAATAAAACGAAATTTTCCTATGATAAATAGATAGAGGTTCAAGTTTAAAGAAATAAAAATCAACGAAGAAATTTTTTTCTAATTGCTTTTATGTATTTTTTAGGATATGATAGACGATTAATTCCAAAATGAAGATAAAAATCGAGCAGATGAATCCACTGGCAAGAATTAATCCGATTTGATGAATTGTCATGACGGAATCCATTTGATTTGAATCGCAGGAGTTGCCAACTTGGTTTGAAGAAGTCTTTTTTGCAGAATATGGTTCCAGCCATTTTTGCCTGATACCAGAATCGATAACTCTCTGAATCAATTGATCGATGCGTTTGGCGTAAGGAACTCCGCCACCAAGTACAGTGGCTCCCGAATCGCTGGGAAATTTATCCATAAAAAATTTCACGAGCGATCCTCCACATTTGTCTCTCATATTTCGAAGCATAATTTCAGCTCTCGTGACTTCTACAATACAAACTAAATTTTGTGACTTCAATAAACGTTCCACGCATTCGTCTTGCGAAAAAAACATCCAGGTGGATCTATTCAATATTCTCTGTACAACAACATCGTCAGAGGCGTTCATCAATTGAAAATGATTTTTGTTTATCATTATCTCGACATTCGAGTCGAGAACGTCTTCTAGTGTTTCGAATTTAAAGGCGGATTTACTCTCCAGTTGAACTTGATTGATAGCCGTGTAAATGTCCGAGGAGAACATGAAGCAGCCGATGAGAACTGCGAGGAAAAATATTCTCTGAATTGTTTCTTCCGGTCCTTCGGGAATTACGTTTCCTAAAGTTACTCGAAACAAGTACTCCATTGTCCATTTATTTGGAGTGAAGTGTAAAATCCGGGTGATGATCCAAATGAATAGGGGGACGATTATCACGGTGAGGATACTCTTTATCTGCCAGTGGAATTGAGTAGATTCGATGTCCTTCTTGATTAGTGGCACTGCAAGTCCGGTGCGGATTTCATTTAAACTTTTACTAAATTCAATGCCATTTCCATTGCAAAATCTTCTGCTTTCCTCATTGCCTAGGATGTTAATTTCATTCGTTACTATAGCGAGACCTACTCCAGTACTAGTTTTTTTTGAACATGTCAATTTTCCCCAAGTTGTAATCGACGATTTCACGAGAGTAAAATTCATGACTCGTTGTAAACTCTTTAGTTTCGTGACACCTAAGCCGTAAATTTCTTGTGATTTATTTTTCGGAACAAATACCCCCGGTGGCGAACTGAGTAAATTCGCCACCATTGGATAACCGTGCATATTTTTCAGTTTGTCCGGAAACCAAATAGTTTTTGCCGAGGCTTTTTCGATTTTAATCGATTTCAAAAAAGGATTGTAGTAAACGACTCTAAAGTGCTCATTTCGAAAAAACAATTTTGTTTTCTCTAGATTTTTAATTTCAACTATAGTCACGTCTGGAAATAGATTTGTCCACAGATTTTCGAAAAATTCCGTATAATTTTTAATTTCGTGCAGGAGGAGAAGTAGACATTTTGGTCGACGCTTTGATTCTGATAGAGTGAGCAAAAAATCGATTGTTTGCGAAAATTTGAAATCATTTTCTGAAATTCTAAAAATGAATAGTGAAATTCGAGGATTGTAGGTTGTGAAATCGAATTTTTTGGGTTTTTCCGGTGTGACTATTCCTAAGAGTGAAATATTTGATAGTTTCTTGAGGAGATTATTGAAAATATTATTTTTCACAATTTTCTCGTCGGTGAAAAATATTACCTGGTAAATTTCTCGATTGTTTTTTATATTTCTTGATAAATTCTCTATCCATTTGTTATTGTTTCCTTCTATTTCCGGCTGGTTGACGAATAGTAGTGAAATACTGATTAGTAATTTAATAATCGACATTTTTGGTTTACTTGAAGCAAAAGGGAATGCAATTTCTGAATTTTTCTTCTTTTTTCCTAACTTTGTTGGTAATTTTCCTTGTTTATTTTAATTTAATTATTTAATTTAATTTATTTATTTTAATTTAATTATTTAATTTAATTAAATTGTGAATATGAAAATTTTAGAGGTGAAATTAAAGTTTTAAGTTTAGAAATAATTTTTTTCACACTAACTTCATTTTTTGACAAACACGACTGAATTAAACTTATAAGAAAGTTAAGAAGTGTTTATAAAAAAGAAGGTGAAAAATTGTTAAAAGAATTGTTGAAAAAATATTATATTTGTTTTTTCTTGCAAAATATGCATAATTTGTGAACGTTAAACTAGTTTGCAAATAGTGACAATACAAACAAGATAAAAATTACTGACAAAGAAAAATAAAGGCAAAATGCATTTGTCTTTATAAGGAAAATTCTTTTGTAATTAAATATTTATTCGGTTGTAATTTTCACTTGAGTTTTTTAAACTTTGAATTACGTCGCAAACTTTAAGTAAAAAAAGATTATTTTATAATTTTATTATTATTAATTTTATTACAAGAAAAAAATTTCTTTTTTCACAGTTGTATGGAGGGATTTTCTAATTTAATTAACAAAATAAAAAAATTTCTTTTTTCAGAGTTGTACAAAATGATTTTCTAATTTTATTAACAAAAATTTTCTTTTTTTCAGAGTTGTGCGCTATGAGGACTTGTCGGTGAATCCATACGAATCTGTGAAGGATTTATATCAATTTTATGGTCTCGACTTTCATCCAAACATTATCAGATATCTGGATACTCACACAAAGACTGATTTTGGAGACATGTCAAGTACTTTTAGGAATTCTAAGGCAGCTCCGTTTCATTGGCGGACGGATTTAAATTTTTACGAAGTACAAGAGATACAGGACGCTTGTACGGAGGCAATGAATCTTTGGGGTTACGTGCAAGCTGGAAATTATACTCATCAACAGTATTTTAATCCAACGACAAATTACAGTTTGGAATATCCTGCCGGAAACTTTGACATTCCTTGACGATTAATGGTAAACATTTTTTTGTCTATAATGGAAAACATTTGATTTTGCATTATAAGAAAAAATAACTATAATGAGTGACTATAAATGTAAATTATGATAATAATTTATATTTATGAATGATATTGATCCTATAAGTTGTGAAGTTTCAAATGAAGGAGAATTCATTTTTTCTTCAGATTAATTTTTGTTATAATTAATTTTGGTTCACTGTGTGTAAAATGAATTATAGTTTCTAAATGCAGGCCTCGGATAGTAGAACGAATTAATTTAATTTCGAATATTTTAAACCATATACAAAAGAAGAGATTTTTTTAGACATATTTTCAAAAAAGCGACTTTTTCCAAAAATGGATAATTTTTAAGATAATAAAATTTTTTAAATTTGTAATTTAAAAGTACGCGAAGAATTGAAATTTTGTGAAATTTTATTGAAAATAATTGATTTTCTTAAAAGTATTTCATAATTTTTTAAAAAATCAAATTTTTAAGAATTTTAATAGCAAATTTTTAAAAATAATTGAATTCTCAAAAATTATAATGTAAAAGTCTTTAAAATATGAAAAAAATTTTGAAGCTAATTAGATTTTTGTAATTTAATGTAAGTATTTAAATAATTGAAATTTTTGAAAAATTTTATTAAAAATAATCGAATTTTCTTAAAAGTATTTCATTAAATTATTTTGAAAATCGAATTCTGAAGAATTTTAATAGCAAATTTTTAAAATAATTAAATTTTTTAAAATTTTAATAAAAAAATCTTCCAAATAAGATTAATTTTTTAAAGATTATTCAATTTTTGTAATTTATAATTTAAAAGTTTTTGAAGAATTTAAATTTGGAAAAATTTTATTGAAAATAAATGATTTTCTTAAAAGAATTTCATATAAATTTTAAAAAATAGAAAATTTTTAAGAATTTTAATAGCAAATTTTTTTTTAAATAATTAAATTCTCAAAACTTTGAATGAAAAATGTTGAAAATAAAAATTAATGAAAATTAGTTTCAAACGAATTTTTTAATGAAATTCAATTATTTGCAAAAATATATAAAATATAAATTTTCGAAAATTACAATATGTACTTCTAAAACAAAATATTCCTAAGAATTTCTTTATCATAATTTTTTGAGATTCAATTGTCTTTAAAAAAGTAAATGAAAGTTTTTAAATAATCTAGTTTTTTAGATCTATCATTAAAATTTTGAAAACATCATGTATTTTCATAATTGTTCTTAAAATTCTTTAAAAATTTGATTATTCATTTATATTTTCCAAAAATTGAATTATTTTTAAATTTTACTAAATTTCAATTATTTTAAAATTTTTTAATTAAATAATTAATAATTATAATTAGGTAATAAATATTCAATATAATTGAAAAATCTATTATCATTCAAAAATTCTTTAAAAATATCGTTAAAAATTAATTTTAAGAATTTTTAAATTAAATAATTCTTATTAAGTCAATTATTTTCAATATTTTCAATAATTCGTAATTAATTTACAAAAGACTTTTAGTTAAAAATTGTAGAAAATAATAAAATTTTGAAAGAGTTACAATTATAACTTTTAGAAACAATTGAATTTTAAGATAAGGCTTTAAGTTTGGAATTTAAAAAATTGTATTTCCTGGAAAAAAAAGTATTGGAATATTTATTTTAAAAAATTATTGAAGTTTTGAATAATTGAATTTATAGATCAGTAAAAGGCAGGGGAAATAAAAAATTAATATTTTGTTGCCAATACTGAATAAAATAAACGACTTTTTCGACTTTTTTGTGTCTTAAAGTCGTTCCGAGGTCAGTAAATATAAAGTTAAAGTCTTTAATTTTTATTACGATCAATAATAAAGTAAATAAAAAAAAATAAAATATGAGAAATCAATATTTTTAGTATTTTCTTCATTTGAACGTTCAAAATTTGTGGATCATAATATAAATACTAAATGTAAATTATAATAATTTATTTTATATATATAAACACCAAGTATAGATTTTAATAATTTATATTTTTTGTAGTAATTTATTATTTTTAATTTTTTTGTAGTTATTTTTTATTAATTTATATTATTAGTTATTTAATTTTCTTTAAGTTTTTGATTGCTAATAAGTTATAATAATTTACATTTAGTTATTCAATTTTCATTAAGTTAACAACTGATAAGATTTAACTCTGATTTATCACTTTTTCCAGCACCTTGTTGTTTTCTACTTTGAAATAAGAAAAGAAGTATCACATTTGAAGATGGAGTGAATGTTTTAGCAAAAAAAAACTCTAATGAAATATTTCTCGTCTGTGCCTCTCTATGACATAAAAGGTTTTGTATGTTGATTTTATTTTCTCACTTTGAACTAAAAAAAACAAACAAACAAGGAAAAATGGGATTTTGTAGATTGTACTTTTCGTAAAATAGTCATTAGTGTTTGGAATTTTTAAAGCTTTTTCTCATACATAATAATATATACATATTAATATTCGCGGTGTGTTAAATTATTGAGACTGTATTTCTTTCTTTCGGAATATTTCAAAGAAAAAAAAAATTTACGTGCATAATATTTTTCTCTCGCTCTCTTTTTTCTCTTTGTCTCTCTGTGCAAGAACTCTCTATATTTCACTGCTCAATTTATTTAATATATTGTACCATTTGTTACTCTTTTTTTTCATTATATAGATGTATAGATATCAAGATTTTATTATATTATATATATATATATATTTCGTCTTATATTTTTCTGTAAAGCAATTTTTTGTAAATATTTATTGTTATTAATTTTCAAGATATTATTCGTGAATAATGTGTTCAGAATATTTAAATAATTGTACATTCGCAATAAATTATCAGTCATAATAATAAAATGTGAAAATGTAATAATTTCTAATAATTAGTAATTGGATAAATGATGATGAATAATATTTGCGCATAATTTATTTACAAATTGATGATGAATACCGAAATTAGCAATTTTTATTTTAATTAAACTTTTTTCGAAACTTGAAATAAAAATTCTTTTAATTAATTTGTAAATTCAATTTTAATTTCCAGTTTTAATTTTAATTATTCGTGAATAATTCCGAGAACATTAAAATTTCATTATTTTAATTTTAATTTAATTATAATTTATTATCTTTCATTAATATTTTTTTTTGTCACGAAACGTGTTTTTGAATTTCGAATAGATTTTCCCGCGTTGACGGGAAGCGTCCTCAATGGCGAAAAGGAAGCGAAGATTGACGAAGAACGACGAAGTGTCACGAGTCGCACAAGAACGACGCAATTACGAATCTCAATTTTTACAAATTATTGAAGAAATGCAATAATTTTACTTCCTCATAGAGGAAGTATTGACATATCTTTATGTTATTTGTCCTCAGGAGTTCAAAAATGACATTTTTAAAAAATGTCATTCAGTATGTCTGTGTGTGTGTGTGTAAACATCACATTTTCATAAATATCTCGAAATCATGAAGACCTTTTGGGTTGAATTTTTTTTAAATTGTAGATCTCACCTGCGGACATAAAGTTAGAGTACTTTTAGACAGATTACATAATAAAGTTTAACTAAATTTTTTTTGGATTTTTAATTTTGCAAAAAAACGTTTTTTCCCCATAACTTTAAAAAAACGTTAGGACACCTATAAATGTTTTTCCATAATTTTGTAGAGTTTTTTTATACGCATCTTTTGAGCCCTAATTGAACATTTTTTGTCCATATTAACTTTTAAAAATAAAAAATTTTGGAAAATAAGACTTTTTTGAAAATTTTGTTGAAAAATGTAGAAGTTACTTTAAAATTATTGTTACCAGCTTCTAGAGCATAAAAAACGCTTCGATTGACCTATTTTTGAACCTAAAAAAATGTAGAACTTGGCAGCGGTTTTCAAGAGTAATAATATTCTTCACAAAAATTAAATATTGTTCAAAAATAATAAAATTCGTCTTAGGAATTCAATTATTTTCACAAATAATAAAACTCATTGCAGAATTTCAATTATTTTTATTACACTTTTTATCAAATTTCTCGAAAAATGTAATTATTCTTAAAAATTTTATAAAAATTCTTCCCAAGAATTCAATTATTTTCATAAATTGTAGTAAAATTCTTTTTATAGAAATTTCATTTTTCAATACAATTTAACATAAAATTTCGCAAAAAAATTCAATTATTTTTATAAATAATAAGTGCGATTCCAAGAGAGATTTTAGTTTTTTCGGAGTTAGTAAACCAATTGCAATGAAACTTAGGAATTTCAATCTACACATAAAAAGAAACATTTCAATGTTGATGGTTGATCAACCAAATATTACGTCAAAATATTCAATAGTTTTTCAGATGTCAAAATTTTGGAAAAATTTCGAAATCGTTATATCTTCTTTCCGTCTTAACCAAATCAGTTAATTCTTTTTGGAAAAAATTCAGCATAAAAAAACGAAAAAAAATTTTATATTATGTTTATAAAAAATGTTTATAAACAAAATAGTACATTGCGTAACAAGTGGCCTTTTTGGAACGAGCGCTAAGTTTTCGTAACGAGTCGTAGGTGAGGGCGCCGAAGGCGCCCTCACCGGAGACGGGTTACGAAAAAGAAGCGCGAGTTCCAAAATGCCGCCACACGTGTTGCGCACGATACTTTTCATAACAAAATCATAAAAAGGCGTTGACACTGAAAAACATATATATCTGAAAAGAATGTTGAGAAACGCATACATAAGATTCGGAACACAGAACCACTGTCAAGCGTACTTACTAGCTGATCGCGCGGGGGGGTTCGGGGGGTCTCCCCCCGACGGGGTCCAGGGGCGGAGCCTCGGTCAGAGGGTTCGGGGGGCGAAGCCCCCCGACTACAAAAAAACCAACTCAAAAGAATAATAATAATATTCGACATTTCAAAGAATCGCATTTTATAATACCCCAAGCCACCGGACGCGTCGGGGGGCGAAGCCCCCTGAAACCTAGTCGTGTACTTCGACGTATTAATAAAAATAATATCATTAAAGAATAAAAACAGAATTTTTCACACGAGTGATCACGAAAAGGAGGTTAGAAACTCTCAGTATTTGACAGATACTGTGTTGCTGCTGTAAGACACGGTAAATGTAGTTAACTGAACGAAAGCATAATCACGCCTCTTCTGGACGGAATTGCAACTACTCGAGCGTTACAAAAATACTCGAACAAGCACAAACAAAGCTCTTTTTTGAACTGAACTGTCATTCGCAGTATTTTCGTAACTACGTACTAAAAAGAATAACTTTACATTGGCCTACGGAGAGACAAATAACGCCATTTTTATGATTGCGTTATGAAAAAGTTATTAAATAATAATTGAATAACTTTTGCACGCCTAAACGAAATTGAATGAGGCAAACACTAAACAAATCTTCGCTGTGGTTTTTTTAAGATTCCGAAAAAAACATTGTACATCACGAAACATTTTTATACAATATTTAATATTTTTGTTCACATTTAAGCGTAAACATTAGAAGTTTCTGCTACTTTACGTGCAAATTCAGGAGCGCGCAGAAGCAGAAACTTCTAATGTTTACGCTTAAAAGTGATAAAAATGTTTCGTGATGTACAATGGTTTTTTCGGAATCTTAAAAAAACCACAGCGAAGATTTGTTTAGTGTTTGCCTCATTCAGTTTCGTTTATTTTCTCTTTAATTTTTTTTTAAATATTTTTTTTGTTTGTAAATTTTTCTAATCTTTTTGTTTGGTTTTTCCTTTTGAACTTGTATATTTTTAATTCGTTTCAAAAGTTTAAGAGACAATTAGCTTTATTTAGCTATTGAGATTCCCACCCCCATGGTGGTGATCTCCACATCCGCAAGCATTCGATTCCTGGAGTCGACATGTTCATTATCTTAAAGTAAAAATAACAGAACCAGTATATTTATTTAAGCAACTAGTTGCTGTAAGAATAAGACAAAAATGAAGTGAAATTATATCTCGACTTAAATCTAATAATTATAAAAAACTTAAAAATTCTAAAGCATATAATAGTTGGTATATTGCTTTTATTGCTCTCTCCCCTTTATCCTTGTTTCATTAAATAATTACATTTTCATGGTATAAGAAAATACTGATTTCAGTAACAGATTCTAAATTCGGATTTAACAAAGTGCAATCCTTGAGATAGTGGCCTACCAAGCTTATCTTGTATCCGCATTTGCAGCTAGGAGGAATATTCTATCCCAATCTCAAGAATAATTCTCCCACGCAGACATGGCCCGTCCTGAGCCTGGTAATTTAGGTTGATTGCTCTCCTCGATAGGTCATAGCCCCTGAACCAAGGTCTCTCCGTCTTTGATGTAATGTAGTTGAAATATTTTAGTCTAGTTTTTGTTACCGGAAAGAAAGGCCATTCTAGTCTATTGGTGGAGTTGAAGTCTTTGTCTATTAAGTTTCGCCAGTCTTCTTTTGAGAAAGAAGCCTTCCTTTTATATCGTAGACCCAAGAAAATCCTAGACAATCTATCTGCCTTTTCATGGCTACGAATGTCAGAGTGGGAAGGAATCCAAACGAGCATAACTTTATAGTTTTGATCAATTATTGATTGCACCATACCTGAAATTTCATGAATAATTGTGCGTGTTTCGTTATCAAGGAATCTATCTTTGATTAATTGTAGCGATCTAAGTGAGTCTGTCATAATACAGTAGTGTTCAATGAAGCCTTCCTCGGATGATCCCATGAGTGCAACACGATCATCCGAGGAAGGCTTCATTGAACACTACTGTACAAGCATTTTGGAAATTGAATGTTGTAATTAGTTTCAATGCTGAGTGTATTCCACTAAGTTCAGCCATGATAGGAGAAAAACAGCCCGTAATCTTGTTCCCCTTTCTATAATTTGTGTCAGGGATAAATATACCATAGCCCGCTTTCCCAGATTTTTCCGAAAAGGAGCCATCCGTGTATATAATTGTGTGTTGCTTATAGTGCTTCGATATTATGGAATTTGTGGTTTCATTAGGGTTTTTGGTTGATTGTATTTCATAACCAGTTCTGTCTATGTTATTCCTAATATCAAAAATTAGGTTTGACCAATTAATATTAAAATAGGAAGCCTTTTGTGGTTTTTATGGGTAGTTATGAGATTGTGTAACGATCATAATCATTTTTGTTTATTATATCGTTGCCATTACCCGGATTAATATTATTATTGGGATATTAATTATGTTTAATCATTTTGAATATTCGCGCGTTAGCGCAAACTCTTACCACTAGGCGTCGCAGTCACCAAAATTAGCAGACGACGAAACACTTGTTGCCCTGGCGGCGGAATGCTAATTAGATTGGTGCGAACCAATTCTTGAATGGGTTGTCACAATTGTTAACTAAGGTGTAATTTTTGATTAAAGAAAAATTTGTTAAATATTTTGGAAGCTGTTTTTTTTATTGAATGTTGATTAAGATAGATTCAATTTTATTAGAGACTGGGTTTTCATTCCAGCTTGATACTCGAACAAGATTCCTATTAATAAGTAAAGACCTTCTTCGCTCTGGAGGAGGCTCCCCTGATTCTGATAGTAAAATCGAAATCGGCGTTGACTTCATACAGCCCATAATTATTCTTAGTGCTGAGTACTGAATTTTATCGAGTATTTTAAGTTTTTTACGGCTGGAATTCATAAACAGTAAAGAGGCCCATTCCAGTAGGGCCCTTGTGAGTCCCCGATAAATGGTCAACATTGAGTCCGAGTGCGCACCGTATGTGACTTTTGTTAAAGTT